CAGCGGAATCCAAACTAGAAGTGGCCGAGACTTTGCTCATTCAGAGGACCGACAAATTGGAGATTAGTAGGAGCGAGACCGAGGCGAGTAAAATTGAGCTAACGAAACTAGATCGGTGTTATGATGAGCTGAAGGAGAAGTATGATGCCGAGAAGTTTACGGGGAAGAGGTTTTTGGCTTCCTCAGCTAGAGCTGCTTACAAGGAGTCGGTTATGTTAGAAGGGGAACGTCGTTTTCAGAAGAGTGAAGTCTGTCGAGCTATGATCGAAGAACGAGCAATAGCTGGGGTTTATGCTCCTTTGGTTAGGACGTGTCGTCAGTACTTACGCAAGGTAGGTGGTATTGACGAGAAGATTATTCGAGGCATGGAGGAGGACATTCCAGATGATGGAGAGGATATTGATGTCGAGTGTACTGAAATTGCCTCGGATGCGGAAGCAGATGACCGAACTACTGAAGCTACTTCTGCTCGTAAAGTGTAGTTTGGTGTGATGTTATGTTTATTTTCTTTAGAAAAAGACTTGGTTTTATTTTTATTTTTTATTAAGTGGGTATGTCCACTAGTATTGTTGCATGCTTCATGACTTGATATTTGTTTGCACCTTGAGACGTTGAGTTTGCTATCAAAGTTATTGTTTCTTCTTATTTATTGATTGCACTAATGTTTTGCATATATCATTGTTCGAGATATTCTTGATGAGGGGATCAGTCTCTCAAGATTAATTTTTTTTTTTTTTATAATTTTTTGGGGTCATGCGCTTTGCTTGGGACCTCGTAGGTATGAGTATTGTTTAGTCCATGGCCACGTTTTAAATATGAGGACCCTGTAAATCAACATAGAAAGATTCAGATAATCCAGCTGGCCAGGCTATATGGATTATCTTAATTTCTCTACGTGTTTTTAGGGTTGGGATGATATGAATCCGTTGTAACGGTGAAGTGATATATGAACAATAACTTTGAGAGTAAAGTAGAAACTTGATTTAATCATTAATAGGGAATGCGAAATGTCGTAAGCCTCTGTGAGGCGAAGGGAAATAAATCGTAAAAACAAATAAATCGAAATATCGAAAAGTAATCTATGTAACTATAAGAGTTTTATTCTTCTTCCACGTCTTCCTTGTGCTCATCCGTACTTGGTGTATGGGTAGTATGTCTATTGTCTTTGGTGTCTCTATGCCTGAAAAGTACTGGGGTAAAAAGAAAAAATCAAATACTTGTATTGAAGATTTAATTGTTTCATAAGTTGGAGTGATGCGTATTTGGGATCACGTACCCAATAATGGGACTATCTCTGTTTCTCGCATTCCGAGATATGAGATCAATTCATGAGTTGTGGTGAATTGCTGCGCGACCCTGCCTGTCAAAGAAGATAGCGTTATTGTTTAGTATAGAGATCCATTAATTTCTTGTGATATGACTTAGTAAAAAATGGTGTTACCCTTTGTGAGGTAGTACGGAGTATCTTCTCTCTTTGGGCGAGTGGTGGGGGGTCGGCATCCTTTCGTAATTGACTCTCAATCTGTACGAAGATGATGAGACGTGTTATGGAATGTTGATGTAGATAATATCAATAGCCCCCCAGTTTGGGAGGGATGTTTACACACCTCGTTATGGAGCCCCTTCTCGGACTTTTAGAGACATTCTTGCAAGAAGAGAGACGTGGAAGGTTGTGAAGCCTGCAAGGGTAGTTGTTTCTAAGCGACTTTCGTACGAGGAAAATGTAGATGCAAACATAAACAAATTGGATTTAAGGTAGATGTATACCTCAAGCGTAGAACCTTTTGAGATTCCCTATATTCCAAGTTCTGGGTATAGGGTGTCCGTCGAGGTTATCGAGACGATATGCTCCATTGTTGACCAGTTGCGTAATTTTATATGGTCCTTCCCACTTCGGGTCGAGTTTACCGATTGGGCGTGAGGCTTCGGCTTTGCGGAGAACTAAATCTCCTATTTGGAAAGAGCGAGGGCGGACCTTAGAGTTATAAGCTTTCGCCATGCGACTCTTGTACATTTGTTGTCGGATGGAGGCAATCTCTCTTAGTTCGTCGACAAGATCGAGGTTAGCTCTCATTGCTTCTTCATTTGCCTCTTGTGAATAATTGATGACTCTCCAAGAGGGTTCGCCAATCTCGACGGGTGCTACAGCCTCTGTTCCGAAAGCTAGGTTAAATGGGGATTCTCCTGTTGCTGTTCGTGGGGTTGTTCGATATGCCCACAGAGCATTGGGTAATTCTTCAACCCACTTTCCCTTGGCACTTCCCAGCCTTGTCTTGAGATGTTGAAGTATCGTGCGATTGGTTACTTTCGTTTGACCATTTGCTTGGGGGTTAGCAACCGAAGTGAAGAATTGCTTAATAGATAATCCAAGGCACCAACTCTTGACTTTGTCTCCACAAAATTGTGTTCCATTGTCCGAAATAATGGAACGGGGAATGCCGAAGCGGCACACGATGTTCTTCCAAAGGAATTGGATGACGTCTTCTTCTCGAATGCGAGCTAAAGGTTCTTCTTCTACCCACTTGGTGAAGTAATCTACAGCTACAATGAGGAACTTGCGTCCTCCTGTTGCTGGTGGAAAAGGACCGACCAAGTCAACTCCCCATTAAGCGAAAGGTATGGGACTGTCAATCGGTTGCATCAGTGCTGCTGGGAGATGAAGGATGTTAGCGTGTTCTTGGCAAGGCTTGCATCTCCGCACTAGTTTTTTCGCATCTTCATGCATGGTGGGCCAATAGTAACCTTGTCTCAATATTTTGAGAGCTAAGTTTCTTCCACTTAAATGATTACCACAAATGCCTTCATGTACTTCCCTAAGCACGTAGTCTGCTGCTGATGGGTTAAGGCATTTAAGATATGGGAAGGAGAACCCTCGCTTGTAGAGATCTTCACCTATCATTAGGAAACGGGCCGCCCTTACCTTTATTTTCTTCGCTTGGGCAATGTCAGTCGGAAGTTCCCCGCTTTTGAGATAGTTTGTAATGGGGGTGATCCAACAGGGTTCGCTCTCTTCAGCGCAATTCACTCCGTTGGTGGAGACTATTTCTGGTTGGGAAGACGTGAGGAGGGTAATTTTCCGGCTTCCAATGCTTGCCATGGAACTACCAAGTCTAGCTAACTTGTCTGCATCAATATTGTTGGCTCTCGGTACTTGCTTTATCTCGTAGCTATCCAATTTTGAGAGGAGGGTAAGTGCAAGAGCAAGGTATTTTGCCATGGATTCTTCTTTGGCTTCATAGTTCCCAAGGATTTGGTTGACCACTAACTGGGAGTCGCTGTGTACTATGAGTTTGCGAGCTCCAGCTGCCAAAGCGAGGCGGAGACCAGCGATCAAAGCTTCATATTCGGCTACATTATTGGAAGCTTTGAAATCAAACCGTTGAGCATACTCGAATTCATCTCCATCTGGGCTTGTTAATACAATACCCGCGCCTCCTCCTGTAGCGGTGGATGATCCATCGACATTGATGGCCCAAGTGGGTATGGAGGTGCTCTCCTCCGATGTAGTCATCTCTACTACAAAGTCTGCTAGGATTTGAGCTTTGATGGCTGGGCGTGGTTTGAACTCAACCCCATATTCACTTAGCTCTATAGCCCACTTAGCTAATCGCCCGAGAGTCTCGGGACTTCTCAATATTTGTTTAAGGGGATAGTTGGTGAGAACAATCACTTGGTGCGACTGGAAGTACGGGCGTAACTTTCTGGCTGCATTGATGAGGGCGAGGGCAAGTTTCTCCATATTGGTGTAACGGTGCTCTGGGCCTTGGAGAGCTCGGCTTATGTAATATATCGGTTGGTGACCTTTTTCACCATCCCGAATGAGCACTGCGCTAATGGCATCTGCTGAAATAGCCAAATATAGGAAGAGAGTATCTCCTGGCTGGGGCTTTGTGAGTAGAGGTGGGGAAGTGAGATATGCTTTCAATTATGTGAAAGCTTTTTGACAGTCCTCATTCCACGCAAACTTTTTCCCACCTCTTAGTATCTTGAAGAAAGGAAGACCCTTATCAGCTGATCGGGATATAAATCGGTTTAGGGCTGCCAAACAACCGTTAAGTTGTTGGACCTTCTTAATCGAAGTGGGAGGGGCCATGGAGGTGATAGCTTCAATCTTTGCTGGGTTGGCTTCAATTCCCCGTTGTGATATCATGTACCCTAAGAATTTTCCGCCTCGAACTCCGAACGAACATTTTAGGGGATTGAGCTTCATCTTGTATTTGCGTAAGATGGAGAAGCATTGACTTAAATCGGTTAGGTGATCCGCGACTTTAATACTCTTGACGAGCATGTCATCAATGTATACCTCCATGTTTTTACCAATCAAGTCCGCGAACATCGTATTTACTAGGCGTTGGTAAGTAGCTCCTGCATTCTTGAGACCGAACGGCATGACTCGATAGCAGTAGATGCCTTGGTCTGTAATGAAACTAGCTCTCTCTTGGTCTTCTGGGGCGAGCAAAATTTGATTGTATCCTTGATATGCATCGAGGAAGCTGAGAAGTTCGCACCCTGAGGTTGAGTCTATGAGCTGGTCAATCCTTGGTAAGGGAAATGGATCCTTCGGGCATGCCTTGTTGAGGTCGGTGAAGTCTACACATAGCCTCCATTTGCCTCCGGGTTTAGGTACTAATACCACATTGGATAACCACTCGGGATACTGAACCGATCTAATGTGGCCTGCATCTAAGAGTTTTGCCACTTCCTCTTTGATATGTTTGTTGCGCTCAGGACCGAAAGTCCTTTTACGTTGCTTGACCGGTTTCAATCTTTTGTCAACGTTTAGTCGATGCAATGCTACTTTGGAAGGAATTCCCGTCAGATTCTCCACTTCTTGATCTAGATCAGAGCCGATGCGGAGAAGCTTAGAATTATCTTCGGGTATGAGTTCTACTGATTTTAGTTCTTCAACCGCGGCTAGCTTGGCGGTGTCGTCGGGTACACTGATTAGGATTTCTTTATCAGCTTCGATGACCGCGTTGACCCATTTTCGCTTATCTTGTCTCGGTGTGTCGTCTCCTTTGCCTGACGGATTGGGTCTCTTAGATGGTTCACGTAGAGCTCTCGCATAACATTCTCGAGCGAGACGCCTATCTCCAAGTACCTCTCCCATCCCGTAAGGAGTGGGGAATTTCCACTTTTGGTGGTAAGATGAAGGTACATACTTGAATGTATGGATCGCGGGCCTTCCCACGATGATGTTATAAGGGGATGGTTTGTCGACGATAAGGAATTTTATCATTTTCGTTACTCGACAAGGATCTTCCCCTAAGGAGATGGGTAACTCTACTTCCCCCATGGATAAAACACCTTCTCCCGTGAATCCTTTCAATGGTGTAGTGATGGGATTGAACCGTGCGTTATCTATGCCTAGCTGCTTGAATGTGTGGAGATACATAATGTCGGCTGAGCTCCCACCGTCCACTAATATCTTTTTAACTATGAAGTTGGCCACCGTTGCTGTTATCACTAACGCATCGACATGATCTTCATCTGGACCTTCAAGGTCCGAGGAGTTGAAGACCATGCCATGATCAGGTCTTCGTATTTGATAGATGGATGCGGATGGAGAAGCATGTTCTTGATTCATACGTGCTGATCGAGCGAGGGTGCGTCTCGCATTTTGTGAATCGCCACCTGCCGGTCCTCCGGAGATAAAGGAGATGATTCCTCGGGTGGGTTGGTTATCATTGTTATCTGGGTCGCGCCGATGACCCCCCTCCTCTCGTCGTTGCTGTTGATCTCTATTGTTATCTCGGCGTGGAAGATCATCGCGGCGCTTATTTCGAGGCTTATCAATGTACTCGCTCAAGTGACCTTGCTTGATCAACCTCTCAATCGCCAATTTGAGTTGTGCACATTCCTCGGTAGTATGCCCTTTATCTTTGTGGAATCGACAATAGCGATCCGATCTTTCTCGTTTCGCATTGGGTTGCATTGGGCGTGGAGGCTCTGCCAAACCTTTTTGTTCAATCACATGAAGTATTTCAGTGAGGCGAGTATTGAGTGGAGTGAATCGATTATAAGTTGAAGATGATTGGCCTTGAGGTGGGGGTGGAGGACGTCGATCATCCCGTCTCCTAATATCCGGGCGGTCATCTTCTCTCTTCCTCTTGGGAGGAGCATTGGCAGAAGCTTCCTCTATGCGTATGTACTTTTCAGCTCGATTTAACAACTCATCTAAGTTGCCAGGAGGTCTTCCTGCGATAGATTCTTTGAACCTACCCGATTTCAGGTTTTGCTGCATAATCCCTGAGAGCATATCTTGTCCTACACTGGGAACTTCATGAACAGCCTCCACGAAACGCCTGATGTAGTTGCGGAGTGTTTCATTGTCTCTCTGTACGATAGAGAAGAGATGTGCTGGAGTTTTAGCATATTGCTTATTGATGGCGAATTGGTTGGTGAAGCGCAATGATAACTGAGCGAAAGTGTCAATTGATCATGTGGGCAGAGCATTGAACCAATTCATGGCTCTCTTGGAAAGAGTGGTGCGGAACATCTTGCACATTGCTGCATCTGTTGGGCCATATAAATCTGCCATAGCGTGGAACTTCTCTATGTGTTCCTGCGGGTCGGTAGTTCCTTCGAACTGAGGTAAGCCTGATACTTTCACTCCTTGAGGCAATACCTCGTTGAGGATGTTCAAGGTGAAAGGACTGCGCCTTGTTGGGATTGGTGCTCCTCCGTCAATTGGGTTGTGCAATCTGGGGAACTGGTTTTGGCGAGATACTCTACTATTTATCTCGTCTTCCCCTTCATTAAAGATATGAGCTCTTCGTAGAGACGCATCACCCCGTTGGAGTGAATGGTGGCGTTGTTGTCTGGGTTGTGGCTCCCTGTGATTAGTAGATAGCTGCATCCGGGATCTTGGATCTGAGGTGGATGAGGATACACTTATCCGATCGTCATTGTTCTGGGCTGGTTGCTGTACCCTGGGTGGCATTGCGGGTGGAGCATTAGCTGGGATCACGGGGGGAGCGTTAGCTGGGATCGCGGGGGGAGCGTTTGCTGCCATCGTGGCGATGTATTGCGCCACCGCATCAGTGGCTGCGCGAGTAGAAACTTCTGTTATCATTCGTTGGAGTGCCTCCTCGGTTATTTGAACCGTTCGAGAAGCAGGTAGAGGTGGAGCCTGTAGTGGAGGATCGGCGAGTGGTGGGTCCCGAGGGGGAATCGCCTGAACCTCGCGTGGTGGATCCGAAGCACGTGGAGGAGGTGGCAAGCCAGAGCCTCCTCGAACTGGGAGGTTGTTAGCTGTGTCATTCTCTCTCCGAGTGGACTCAGGAGGATCTTGCTGGCTACGTGATCTGGTCTGCATTCCCACAGACGACGCCAAAATGATGACGTAAAAAATAAATCACCTAGTGTGTTGAAGCTGGGAGAGCAAAGTAGGTCACGTGCTCACGAGCTAGATAGTCCTGAGAACTTTAATTTACTCTAGGATCCTGCGAACAGAAAACACGTAATCTAAGTCGGGGGTTGATCCGGCGGAAACCCCTCCGACGCTCAAGTCAGACGTGAAGATAGTGGGTAAATGAGGAGAGAATTCGAATAGAAGAATTGAGGGAATAATAATAACGTACCTTTATAAAATGAATTTAAGTTGTATTCATACTTTATTGATTGGGCCGAGATCAATTTATCGGACCCAACCTTCTTTGGGTATGATTGGGCCTTCGTATAAATAACTATTAATTTGGGCCTGTGGCCCAGTAAATATGGGTCTATTGGGCTGGCTCAATAGGCATATCAATAATAATAATAATAATAATAATAATAATAATAATAATAATAATAATAATAATAATAATAATAATAATAATAATAATAATAATAATAATAATAATAATAATAATAATAATAATAAGAAATTTTGATACATTTAAAAACAGTAGTGAAGAGGAGTATGATATTCCTCAAAATCTTGATTTGCTTAATAAGTGGACTATTCCAAAAATAGATCCAAAAATTATTTATAAATTTGGTACCTTTGAAAGAATTGGTTTAAAACAGGTGGTTAAAACCACTGAAGAAACAATCTCTCTTAATAAAGATGAGATGATAATTCGATTACTCAGTAATAGAGATTTAAATAAATATAAAAAATTATATAAATTCATCCATATTGGATTAGTACAGGTTGCGTTTAAACCTCTAACCTTAGAAGGATTACCAGAAAGCTTTATAGCCGCCCTAAGAGACGGTAGAAATTTAGATTGGAAACAATCGTTGATGGGTATTATACAGTCCAGTTTGGCCCATGGCCCAGTCTATTTTAATGTTTATCCTAATTTACAGTTATCTTTAACTGATATTAATATTTTAGATACTTTAACATTAAATGTTAAAACTCATGGTTATAATTATGCTCCAGGATCTGAAGTTATATGTGTTTGTTATAGAATATATTACAAACCTCTTCATACATTGAATCCCCACTGTCAAATGGTTGACAAACCATTAAATGAAACTATTCTTATAGAAACAAATTTTAGTAGATCTGAAATCACTACTAGAAGATCTATCAAATGGAATGAAATAACATTCCCAGAAAATTGGATCATAGAAAAAGCTGTTCCTGCTCTTCCTAATACTCGGGACAAAGCTACTAATATAGTGCAAACTCCTGAGGGAAACGTTGTCATCAATTTTGATAAACCAAGATATTCTCTAGGACAAAAATCTAGATCACATCTTTCTAGATCCAGTTCTTCTTATTATCATATATCTCCTCTCGAT